GTTCAGTCTCCTGACTGTGATTGGGGTCTACTGCTAGTGTGTCAGTGTGTTGGTGGAGGCAGTTTGCTGATGCTTTGTCCATTTGGAACTGGCTCTGGAAGTCTCTCCCTGGCACTTGTAAAATTGTGCAGTGATGTTGACATCGTATCTTAACAATTTGTACAAAGATCCTAATTGAAGAACAATAGGAGGACCAATACAGCCCATTTTGTAACATTTTGAATGTTTTGTAAATGTATTGGTCCATGTGTTGTATTTTGTAGTCCTTTCTAGTTTGCCTTTAGTTCTTGCTACGTAACTGCAGTATGCATACATATGGAAATAAAGCATTCAAACTGCAGTTCCTGTGTTCTTTCAGGACAGGAGGAAGATGAATGCTAATGCAGCAGGTGTTTGAAAACTGGGTTTCACATTAGAAATATTTAAGAGTGAAATGGTTCTGCCGTGTTCTGCCATGATGGGCATAGGTTGCCACTCGTATGATGGGATGTCAGCTTGTAAACCTATGTGAAACCCAGCATCTACACTGAACTTTTAGCACAAGACCCTCAAGTTCTACTAGAACAGTTACACAATTCTCTAGTCCCTTAGATGCACACTTTGTGAGGTGTACAGCAATCTACTGCATTATGTTTATTTATTACATTGTAAAAAGCTAGATTAACTGAGGCATTGACAAACTTGGAACAGATCAGGTTCACCTCAAACTTTCAATGGGTTTAAAACATGCTATGAGTTCTGCTGTCACATCCCAGTCTGAGGGCAGATGCTGTGATGTGATCTCAAAATCTCAAGTGTCATTAGACACCCTTGCATTTGACATGTGAGTGGTTTACTTTGTACTCTGCGGAGGAAGGCTTTTCCACTGTAGCGCAAGGCTGTTGGCGGACTGTTGCAAACCATGTCCTTTGCCATCATCTCTGCTTTAACTTGAGATAAAGGAAAAATATCTGAACTTGTATCAGAATGCAAACTGGGGATGGTTCAAAATGATTCTTTTAAGGAAAAAATTTGACTTTATTTAGGAAAAGGAAATGAGAAGTGGTCACAGCTGAAATGATGACCTGGTGAGCTCCATCAGTCTGTGCAGGACCAGTCACAGCTGAAATGATGATCTGGTGAGCTCCATCAGTCTGTGCAGGATGCTCTTCTGTCCGTATCGTACATGCAGCGCATTTTGCTGTCGGCTGCTCAGTGCCGCAAGTGCTACCTTGTCTGCTGTCAGCACCTGGTCGCTGTCAACACCTTCTTCCCCGTCTCTGTAGGACCTCATAGTCTGGCAAGCTGCTTCATGGATCAGCTGTTTCCATGAAGCCTTTAGGCCAGGGAGACCTTCCATAGAAAAAGCCAAAGAAATCTCCTCGTCATCTTCCTCCCATCCTTCATTTTCTCGGAACTCTGAGAACTCCTCCTTTGACATACACAACACCTAACCATACATAACAAAAGTTTGTATCAAAAAAAAACATTTTATGCATCTTCCCAGATTTTTTTTTTTTTTTCATGCTGTGTACAGGTGAATGGCATTGTTGTATGTACTGTCTCACCCTAAGGTAAGTGTGTAGCTCTGTGTCTGTAAGGCAGCCCTGTTTATCAAAGACAAAGGCCCCCTTCTCTTGTGTCATCTGACACAGCATCTCCCACCGCTCCTCCAACAGCTGCCGGTCCAAATCAGATTGAATACCTTTTGAAGAGAAGAGGAAGAGGAGAAAGGGGGAGTCTGTATTTTGTAGTTATTGTAAAACCATGATAATGGTATTACTGACATTTCATGCTAAACTGACTGAGATGATAGTGACTTCAGACAAACGAGGTAGCCTTCCTCTAGCTCCACATCAGAGTAAAAGCATTTAAAAACAAAGGGACTCATTTCAGTTTGTATCACAAAAAGTTCCACCTGTTCCAGTCAAGACATTAAGTATATCATGTCATTCTGCCCTCAGTTAATCCCATCAGCTCTCCTCTGCTTCCACTTTAAGCTCACATCTTACTACACCTCACCTCGTTAGTTTCTTTAGCACCTTTCCTGTGTCAACACTATAAAAGAATAATCTGCCAGTCACCTTGTGTGGCAGCTTTGTACAGGTTGGTGATCGGGATATCAGCAGTGTCATTGCTGTTGCTTGGATAAGGCTCAGTGAAGCCATACATGTGCAGCAGCTGCCAGTTGGCCATCTGCCCATAGGTGTTAAATACCTCCTCCCCTTTACGGATGGGGCGCACACAAACCATCTTTAGACTGTCCTGAGAAAAATTGTCAAAATTAGAAACAAACTTAAAAAAAAAATTGAACATTTCTGCTCTTACAGTGAGGTGGTGCATGTATACTACCATTAGACTTTCTAGAAAAAAATAGTTAAATAGCACCTCTGACAATTCTGATAGCAAAAAGTCAGATTTTGTTTGTCTAACTCTTCATGTTCACTGAAACTTAATGCTGAAGCTGATGTATCCTCACTGGTGTGAACTCCAGATTAGCGCTGTGATTGGACATGTGGTTAAGCATGTCGGCCATGGGAACCATCATGGGTGGGTTGATGGGCTTCTCCCCCTCTTCACCATCCTCCTCTCCCTGCGGTTCTTGAAAACTACAGAGGACAAAGAACAGGAATGGAGGGTAGAAAGGACAAAGGAGATTGCAGCAGCACAGTTAATAAAAAAAAAAGCAAAACCTCCACCTACTTTATATGTATGATACTTACTAACCTGTAGGCCATGACAAAGGCCACCATCTGTGTGTACAGATCCAGGGTATGGGTGTCTGGATTCCAGAGGTCAGGATGCCTGGTGATGAAGGGCAGGACCACGTCTGTGTATTCCCTCTGGATGTTAGCCAAGTCTGTGTCCACAGCCTCTGGGATACCTGTTCCCCTCAACAGTCTGTCTCTCTCCTCTTTAGACCTGAACAGATGTGATGTGCATTACTGGAAAAAAAACCAAAAATTCACAGTTCATCAGCACTGACACAAAACAGTTTCTTACCAGAACATGGGGAGGTCCAGTGTCTTGAAGTCAGTGCACAAAGAGAGGTAAGGTTTCCAGGGGGACTGTGAAGATGTGTACTCATACAGCAAAGCCAGCAGCAGAGGAACCCAGCCGGACGAGCTCTCCAGAGAGGACTTCTCTGTGAGGGGACAAAGGGAAAACCAAGTGTTACAGAGTAATGATTCAGCCAGCTTCAGTCCTAGGTAGTTGTAACAGCCACCTTTCTCCAGCAAGGCAGAGACCCTGGTTGTTCCCTGGTGAAGAAGCGCTGACCGGGGGATGGTGAATAAAACCTCCCCCTCCTCTATGCTGTCCTTAGCCAGCATCCCATACTGTGCTACTGTCCCCTCTTTGCTCACATACACCTGCAGAGAGAAAGACATCCGTCCTTAAAAGGCCCAGTTAATATGGTTCAAGAGAATGGGATCAATACAGCCAAATATAGAAAGTTGACATTCTTGAAAAACATTTGTTAAATACTGACAAACACAAACAGGGGGGAATGCATTTATCACAGACAGACAGACAGACAGAACAAGTTCAGTGGCAGAATACTATGTCTCTGTCTGAAGGGGTGGAGGTTGTGATAACTTACCTTATTGCTGAGCTTTAGGCCGACTTGGTGACACCACTGTAGAAAGTTCTGCAGGGGACTAAGCTCCAAGTCGTCATCTACCTGTAGCAACAAGGTCGCATTGACAAACACCTAAACATTTATATGATCATGTATGTGTGCGACCTAATGCCACAGTGCAATAAACAGCCACAAGACAACCACAAGTTATACTTTGATAATATGACACATTTACTGTAAAACACTAGCAAAGTGTGTCTATCATTCATGGCGGAAACTGAAAATGCCTTTTGTAAAAATGCATTATTTTCTTGCCACACATCTGAATAATTATCTCGTCATTATACAGTAATCCTGACATTTTGCGTTAATCCAAGATCAAATGAACAATTAGCAAGTAGACTGACATACAATCTGCTGAAGCACACACTGACAACAATGACACTCGTCCCTCTCCAGTGAATACAGTCAGAATAAGCTGTACTTTCAGTACCAAAAATTGTTAAACCAGATGTTAGATGTGTAATAGTTATCTTAACACAGTCCTCTGGAATAATTTAATATGAATGGACATCTTTCTGCCTGACCTCTCCCTAACTTAAGTGAAAGACACTCATATCAATGTCCAACGTGTTTTACCTTAAATATGCAAACTGACTAATATTACTAACTTTAGCTAACTCATGTCTACGACACAATTACTAATTACTGTTATTGATCTTTAAAGCTGAAAGTTACAGCCACATTATGCTAACAGCTACAGACAGCAGCACCTGTGTAGCTAACAAACTGAACGTTATAAGTTACAGACACGCAAACGGTTCAGGTTTGTTTCTCGGTTAAAACAGACGAAAACACAACCTTGGATCGTTTCGCTTCTGTTGCCATTTTCCGAATCTGACAAACCAAGGACTGGGCAGGTGTGAAACTATCAGCTCACAGCTTCTTCTTCCTATGGAGTCTATTAGCGGTTTACAAGCCAACCTAAGGTGCATTACCGCCCCCTGCTGGGCTGGAGTGTGGAACGATAATAGAGCCGAAGGAATATACTGTACTGTATATTTTTTTTTTAAATCTTAGCATAAACTGCTAAATCCTATCCCAAATACCTATATATGCCAAATAACCAATAAGGGCTCTATATGCTGTCTTACAATTGCTGCCCAAAAGACTCTCTAGTGATATATTAGTAATCTTTTTTCCAGTACTTACTGCTATCATTTGAGCATGCTGCTCATTATAAGCACTGCATATGAATAGGACATGCTCTACAGTCTCTGTCTGACTACAGTGTGAGCAAAGACCTGTACAGTGTATACCTATTTTTATGCAGGGTATAATTTAAACTTGTATGACCTATTCTCAAATGATTTACTACACTTTCCTCTTTTCTAGTACCAGTCCATGTCCATTGGTATCCAACCAATTTTTGGGACCTTGTACAAATGTCTACCATTTTCACACCTATCCCACTGTTCCTGCCAAACTTTGTGAATATAAATATTAATAAGGGATTTCATTTCAAATCTAGAAATTGGGGTATGTCTGGTAACTGCATCAGATTTTAAAGCACCGCAGCAGCAGCCTCCTCGTTACCATCAAATCCGACATGAGCTGGAACCCATAAAAAGCTAACTGTGACATCTTTCTTACTCATCTTCCACAAAGACACTAATATCTTATTTAATATGTCTTGTCCGGTCTCAGATACACCTGACTAGACTAGAGAGGGCCAAAGAATTATCAGAACAAATTAATCCCATAGTAACCTTATTTTCCTCCACCCACTGCAAAGCTAGTACTATTGCAACCAGTTCAACTGTAAATACTAACAAGTGATCAGATGTTCTTTCCCTTATAACTGCTCTACATTGAAGAATAACTACAGCAGACCCTGTTCGACCAGACTCAGAATCTTTGGATCCATCAGTAAAAATATCATTAATTCATTTTTGTAATATCGATCTATAAAACCCACCACATAGGTTGATGTGGGAATATGAATTGGTTTGGCTTTCAGTTCCATAATAAGGCCTAGATTCACCAGTTGCCTAGAAAACAACCAAGGCGGAGTCTCCTGCCATGAAACAGTTGAACAATACTTCAATTCAAGCAGACCTCCTCTCTGGGCCATGATATTACCCATCCATCCAAAGCTATAAAACTTGGACTCATTGTGTTCCCAGCAATCCAGTAATATTGATTTAGCAGGATGGGCACTATCATGACCCTGCAGGCTACCCCAGTAGTGCAGCATAAGTTTCAATCTTCTTGCTCTGAAAGCAGGGGGATGCCTGGAGAATTGCAGAGTGTACCCAGTCGTAGCAGCTTGTCCATCCAGCTGTTCATGGACAGCCACTCTCACCACGCGAGGTAGCACTCTGAAAGCGGACAAGCACTCGTTTATGGCGTGCCTGTGGACATTGTCACCAGCCACTTATGGGCCCTCTCCGCCATTGTGAGAGCAATGTTCCCTCTTCACAACCCATGGGACGGCAATGGCAAAAGGGCTGTAAAGAGGCAAGCACCCTGAGCAGAGCTTTGTCTTTTGCTTCTCATGTGAGAGAAAAACCACCACTCACACACACCAGTGGGTGGGAGGTGGGGAGACCACAGAGGGACAATGGCAGTGACGCTGAGCCCACTGTTGTGGAGAATGCTTTATTAGACATGACAATGGTGAGAGAATGAATTGTGTTCAGTGCATCCCATGGCATGGCCTGTGTGAGGGGAGAGCTGTGCGGTGGGGAAATGTGTGTAAACAGACAGTGCAGATTCAGAGAAAGAGGAAAAAGGAAACTGCTTTTTACGAATTTGGGGTGGCCCTGAAAAGGGCTGTTGTGTCTGGTTCTTTCTGGAGATCCACACACGTTCCCCACCTCCCGTCATTGCCGCTGTTCCTTTCGGGGGACTCAGCGGGGGGGGGGGTTCCTCCAGGGGCACATCTGCCTGGAATGCGGATTGGTGAATGTGGTCCAAAAGGCAGGCATGACCTGGTCCCATGGGAGCAGAGGAGTGGACCACCTCCTGCCAAAGAACATTGTCTTGGGGAGCAAGAATGAGGAGATGCTTGTCTCCAGTGGTGGAAGTCAAGTCAGGTCAAAGTGTTTATTGTCATATACAGTAAGGAAACATGTTTCCCTGCACAATGAAATTTTTACTTTGCTTTCCACAATGAATATTTGTAACAATGCTGGCTGAAGTCCCATTGCCAGTTCTGACAGACTGGTGCCTGCCAGCCAGAAAGTCTAGGGGCCAGTCAGAGGTTGGGGTGCAGACCTAGTGTAGACAGTTTGTGGGTGAGTTTGGGGGGGATTATCATGTTGAAAGTGGGGCTGTAGTCAATAAAGCGTATCCTGATGTAGGAGTCTCTATTTTCCAGGTGTGCAGCAGCAACAGTGGGGAAGCTGAGGTCTATCACTCCCTGCACCCTAGTGAGGGTCTCGAAGCAAGCGACCAGAGTCCTTAGGCTCCCAGGCTGCTCTGCCACTTCCGAGAAGAATGGGCAGATGGTGGGAAACTTGGGCCAGATGGGGGTGGTGTTTGTTCTGCTGCGCGA